AGGTCTGAAAATCTCTGAATTTCATGGATGACAGCCTCAGTGTATGGCATTTTGGTGCGGTCGTCAAGGGTTGGTAGGCGGTTTGAACCGATCACCTGATCAATCTCCTTCTGGACTTTTTCTGCACAGAAAAGATCTACTTGGTCAGATTTGTAGCAATGATACGTTATTCTATGAACAACAACCCAGGAAAGAGGGCAGCAATGAGACTCTCCTAAAAAACTCCATGTACTTGAGGGTACAAAACTGTCCTGAACTTAAGCGACTGCTCCTCTGTGCCCATGCTTAAAACTATATAAATCTGTCCTCTGTGAGGTTCAACCACATTTCATCAGGGACTTAAAAAAAAGAGAAAAAATACAGCAAAGGGCTACTGCATAAGGATAATTTAAAGCAATCATATTGGTATGAGAGTGTGAAGAAGAAAATCAAGGGATTTGCAAGGGAATGAATTGTCTCTTTATACACACACATATGCATGAACAATACCCTCAAGCACACATAAACACATGCATACACACATATACACAAATGCACATACAAGGACGGACACACACACACACACACACACACACACACACACACTCACAGACACACTCTCATTCAGGCACATACCACAACTTTACATGGAATTTTTTGTTAAGAACTTGAGGCTCTTTCCTCAGAAATATAACTAAGAAGTAGGTGAATTAGTAAATGAGAGTATCAACAGATGAGCTTAAAAAGGAATACATAAGTAAATCAATGAATAAATCAATTAATAAGTAGACAGGTTTATGAATTAATGAAATGAATAGACACTGAACTTTTAAGTTGACAGATGATTCAAACTGCAGGAATCTTTGACAAAGGAAAGATGAATTCAAAGGCCAATTGGTGTAGGGAATAAGGAATGAAACATGTTAATAAAAGGACATATAAGTATATGAATGAATCAATGACAGATAATTTATTTAATTCTACTGACCAAAGGAAAGACTAAGTTGATTAACTGAAACAAATTAATGAAATGACTTGCAGGGCGATTAAAGAATCATTTGGTCAGTGGATTGAAATATGGTTGAATGGATGCTTATTGTGGGTGTGTGGGGGATGTGTGTGTATGAACAAGAATTTATAGTTGGATAGGTAGAAGGGTGGTTGAGTAACTAGATATTTGGAAGGATAGATGGCTTAGATAGTTGGAAAAAATGAATGAAGGTATAGGTGGATGACAAATGAGTGGACATACAGGCAGGTGAGCAAATAGGAGAAGCAGATGGATGGATAGATGCTTTGATAGATGAATGTAAAGATGGAAGGGAAGAAAAAAGGAAGTAACTAAAGAGGAAAAGAAAGTTGAATCAGAATCAATGGAGTATCACACTTTAATTGACAGTAAAAATGGGTCAGCTGGGTATTGATTCACACACTACCCACAGCACTGTCTTAGTTTAGAAGTAGACCATAGCCTTCTGCGTTCCAGATGTAAGAAGCACACGTGTCTCTCATCTTCGCAAAACTCCAAAGCCAAAAGGGAGTTAGAAGCTCCCTCACTGGTTGCCAATGACACACCTGCGACATGGGGGTATTTGAGCATGAGCAGGAAGCCATAGCGGAGCGTGGTGCTGCTGGTCTCGGTGCCAGCAAAGAAGAGAGACAGCACGGTGATCACAAGGTTCTTGTGATGGAATTCCGTGTGTGGGATGGACTTCTCCTGGTTCCAGATATGAGAGGGAAGGGAGGGTCAGAGGTGACTGGAGCCTTACAGGAAGATAAACACATCCTGTGATCTGTCCTTCTGTCTCACATTATAGAGACTTTTTGACATTTCTCAATCCTTGAAAATGTATCTTGGTCTCTGTGTGTTCTGTCTTCTCTCTCTACTTTGCTCTTCAATAGTTTATCATGTTTTGTCTATCAAACTCCCTCTTCCTTTGAGACCATTTTCATTTTATTGTCCCTTGCACTGTGATTCTTCTTCAGCCTTCTTTGTCCCTATTTCATTTTCTCCTCCCTTTCTATTCTTCACTTTCTAGATTCTAGTCCATCTCCTCCACTCAATTTCCTGTCTCTCCTTCCCATCATCTGTCTCCCCCAATCTTTTCCTCTGCTCACATCCTCAGCTTTTACTTTTACCCATCCACTCTCTCATTCATGCAGTACTTACCTTCTCCATGCGTAGAAGGTAGGTATCAATGAAGTCTCTTGGATTACTGGGGTCCAAGTTTAGCCTGTGCTTCTCCACACTGTGTCCAATGTAGTCAAGGATTTCCTGCAGGTTTTTGCAAACTTGTACATGGGAACCAGGAAAGTACTTCAGGAAGCCAGAAAAGAACTCAAACATCTGCATGAAAGAAGGGTCCAGGAGGTCACCTGGAGCTATCAGGTCTCAAGAAGCAGGATGTGTTTGTTCCTAGGTTCCCAAATGTCATGAGAATCCACTCTCCTTCCACCCTCTGCTCTTCCCGCTATTTGCTCATCTCTTGTTCCTTTATTTCGAGTCTCATGCACACATACATACAGCATGCTGTCATTCTCTCTCTCCGATTCTTTCCCCAGAACTTGTATTCTCTACCTCTCTTTCCGAAGCCATCATTTTGTTTTTCATTTTATTTTTCAATCAGGGTCTCTTGTCTTTCAGACTGTACTCAAACTCAATATTTATACAAAGATGTCCTTGATATTACTGATCTGGGGTGTGCTGGGATTTCATATGTGTGCCAAACATAATCCAGCTTATTTTGTTCTAGGAATTGACCTCATGATTCAAACATGATAGACAAGTCTTCTACCCATTTAGCAACAGCCACAATCCACCATGTTTTCATTTTCTCATGTCTGGAAGGCTCTGTATTTCTGTATTCGGGTATCTCCACCTTTCTTTCCTCCTTCCAGGCCTAAGGCCACTTGCCTCTCCATATTGTCTCTGCCCTGTGCCCCATACTTTTCTCTGTAAATGGAGTTCTTAATTGGTCTGTGTAATAAAACCTGGAGCCAGATATAGAAGATTTGTTCAAGAAAGATATAACCACATCTCTCCCTCCTGCTCTCAATCTTATCTCTTCGTGTTTTCTCTGTCTTTCTTCCAGACCGTCTTCACCAACAGAACAGAATCTCATTTCTTCTGCCTTAGATGACAGACTCCCCAGCCACTAACCTGAGTGGATAGTGAGCTAATGATTGAGAAAGTCTGATAGAACAGGTCCAGCAGGCGCAGGAACTGGCCATCTTTGTAGTCAAAGCGCTCTCCAAAGACAATGGAACAGATGATATTGGCTGTGATGCACTGAAAGAGGAACTTGGGGTCCAGAGGTGCTCCTGGAGGATGAAGAGGCAAGACAGGAGACATGGCATCAAGAGGAACGTTTGGCCTTGTCACTATTTCTATACAGCTGTCACCACCACTCACTACTCAAAGAATGGCAACATTTGCTACCCTATTTTCATATATGATGCACCAGATCCTGCACTCGAGATTGTACAAACCATTTTATTTAATTTCTTCTCAATATTACACATAATGTACAATGACATTAGTATGCAGAGATAGTCACTAACTTCTCCAAATTAGCAAACCTACTTATGACTGGGACCCATGGATGCAAGAAGGAGAGCATGTGAAAGTTACTCCCTACCATGAAACCCCTCCCAGGCCAGCATTCTGACTATAATCCAATCTGTAACTCCCACTTTCAGGAATGGTGCATAGAATGGTCAAGTGGTTTGTTTTATGGATTTAGTACTCTCTCATCTGTGAGTCTTCCTCTATTTCTTCTATGATTCTAGGCTCTGTGGTGTTCCAAGAACCACCAGCATCTGGCATCTGCCGCCTTTGAATTGCAGGTTTCTTCATGGGCTGTCATAGTGGGAGGGATGCTGTCAGTCCAGCAATATTGGGC